CTCAATCGGCCAACTTATTTAGCTGGTTCTATGCTTTAAATCTCGCTGGAATAAGGTCGAATAAGGTTGAACGATATAAACTTGATCGATATCCAATTCTCGTACATTTTAAAGAAAAGAAAAGAAAAAAAAATATTCAGCAATTTTTGCAAATTTTTACAATCGTATTTCTTTCTTTCCATATAAACGAAAGGCTAATCTTAACGAGTATCTAAGATACGTTTCATTTTAATGAATATACTTTTCCATGACCGAATCGAATCGATTACGGAGCGAGTATTCCATTTATCCAATACCGATAAATTTTCAATATTATTGAAAATCGACCGAGATGTCGATTTATAATACGATTGCACCCCTTACTACTACTACTCGTGACGTTCTTCGTTTATCTTATTATTATGTCATCCATGTTCCAGTTTTACCACAAACGATCGGTATCCCGTTTGTGAAATGACGGCCACTATATCCTGTTCGTTCCTCCTACTCGCTCTTCGGTCTGATTCACTGTGATAACGAGTGTGCTCGAATCGGTCAAGCAAAGAAATTGTTATAGATGCTTCTATTAGATGCTCATTTTCTTCGAACGGTGATAATCAAGATAATGCGACAATTATCTTCGAGATGTCGAATGTTCGAGATTTTTTGTAATGGTCGTGGCCGGTGAACGAGAAAATAAAAATATATATATATATATATATGTATATTTCGTTAGATTCGAGAAGCACGTATGTACGTATTTATTGCTTGTTTTTCAATTTGCATATCGTGTTGATCTACGAGATCTAAAAATTGTTTTGTAAACGCTGTATCGTATCACCAATTTTCTCGGACTTGCAAATATCTTCCCTTCTTTCGCTTCTATCGGCTGAATCGATCGATCATTAATGCTGTAATAATAACTGTATTAACTTCGTGAATTGTCTCACTATATACCTTCCTCGTTAATTTCCTTCGCGATGCAAAAATACGAACAGGTCACGTAAACGTATACCTCGAACACAACCGAATAAAATACGAGCACAATAATTTCATTCATTTCTTCCGTAAGATAAAAGAAAAATAGAAAAAAAAAAAAAAGGTAGAAAAAAAAAAAGATTCAAACGAACGAAAAAATACAAGAAGTCTGAGAAACAATTTTTTGTCGATTTTTTTCGACGAGATCGAAACGTTTTAAACAAAACAAAACAAAAAAAAATAATAATAATAATAGTAATAAAGGAACTGCATCGTGATCGTTGTGTGCATGTGTGAGAAGCGAACAAAAAAAAAATGAGTTCACGAGAATTTCAAGACACTCGCTTTTATCCCGTTCGTCGTTGTCCTTACTTTTGTGATATGTATTTTCGTTGTCGCGTGAAACAACCGAGGAACACCGAGTGTTTTCTGTGTACACGGCATGTTATGAATTACAGGGAGAATCTTAGAGTCTCGTCGTTCACATTGTCGAATTAGAGAACCATTAAAAAAAAAAAATAATAATAAATAATAATAATAATTGCGATTTTGTTTAAAAAAAAAATGAAAAACGCAAATAGACAAAAAGGGAACGGAGCAAAGGTTTTTAAAAATATTTTTTACGACGCCTCGCGAGAAAATACAAGCAAAAAAAAAAAAAAGGCGGATTTGATGAATAGCATGAAAGAACGAACGGAAGCTCGGCGGTATGGTACAGCTTGCAATGAGAAAACTTGCAATATAACAAGCAATAAATAAGCCACTTTTAATTCCATGTATATCAAACAATTATGTGGATGCTTAATGAGATTTATTGAATTAAACGAGCAAAAAGAAAAAAAAATGAAAAAAAAAATAAATAAATAAATAATAATAATAAAGCCAAGAACTAAGACGAAATACCGATTTTACATATTCTTACTAATCGTAAACGATTACAATACGTATAGCGACATACTAAAAATTATACGATTATGTATCGATTTAAAAAGAGCAGATTAAAAGAAAATGGTAAATAAAATAATTATTATAAACTAAAAAGCAAAAAAAAGCAGTACGGGCTGCAGGCGTGCATCGCCGCGCAGACGTGTAATGTCTAATCTATATAAGTACGTAAAAGTTTCAATTTTACACTACCGATAATAATGACATAACGGTAAGGTTCTATATAAGATATAATGATGATTTATAATAATTATAACGTTGTACAGAATATTTATGAAAGGTGCGCTGCTGGCGAAAGAGCCGCGCGTTTCTTTGTGTGTTCGTTGATCGCGAACGCGGAAAAAAAAAGAAATTAAAAATTAAAATAAAAGAAACGAGAAAAAGAAATAAGGATAAATGAAGAAGAAAAGTGAAAAAAAGATAAAAATAGAAGCAAACAAATAAGGAACGTTTGCCTTTTACGTAAAATTTGTTCGAATTATTCATGATTTGAAATCGTCGATACATTTTTCACGATATGAACGAACAACGCGCGACTCTCTATCCAAAAGCGGCCAGACTATAATGGATGTTTTGTAAGATAAAGCAAAACGATCACGGATTATATTGAGATCGCGTTCAGAGAAATGTATAGTCGATTGCGTATTCGGGATAGCTCGAATTTACTCGACGACGCCTTTCTCGTTGAAGGAATAAATAAAAAATAAGAAAAGATGATAAAATAAAAAAAAAAAGTGAAAGGGAAAGAGAAGAAAAAAAATACGAAAATCGCGGCTCTTTTCTTCCGCGAATATATTCGAGCGTAGGGACAGATGTGCCGTCGAAGGGCGAAATTACGGTCCTTAAAAATTTAAACCTAAAAGAATAACAAAAAGATGCAAAAAAATTTAAAAATTAAAAAAACAAAAGCGAGACAAAATAGTGAACAAAAGATAGAAAGTGAGAGAATTTATCCGCCGCAGATATGCGGCATAAGAAAGGGCCGATAATCTAATTCATTGTGTATGTATACAGACAAAAAATAAATATAATATTGCGATTATAAATATTAAACTAATAAAGAATAACAATATTGTACCCCTCTGTACATATAAATATATATTATAATACGATGATTATTACTATATGATTTATTATAAATATATATACATAAATATAAATATATCTCATGAATTCACATTATTATGTTTATTATTGTTTACTTATTATTATTAAAATTATTATCATTGCGATGATAACGAGGATGATGATGATGATGATGATTATTATTATTATTATAATAATATTATTAATATTTAAGAAAAGGTTCACAACGTGCCGTGTGTATGTGGGAATAAAATATATAATATAATGGACATTGTTCAATTCAATCCAATGTCTTTGTTGTTTTTCTCTTTCCTTGTTTCTATTTTTATATCTTATCATTATTTTAAATTATTTTACTTTACATTGATTACAATTTTCCTATTTTAGAGATTTATATTTTTTCTTGAATGTTAGTTAAAAATATAATATATGGTATATTTATTATTTAATTAATCATATTAGAATTAAATAATCATTTTACTTCTTTATTTAAAAATAATACATTAAAATAAATAAATACATTAAAATAAGAAAAAATAAGAAATTAATTTATTATTTATTAATTGAATTCTTTGCTAAACTAAACTCTTATTTTTATTGCTAAATTCCATAATAAGAAAAACTCTTTTTTCAATAATATAATAATATAATGAATAATATTTTCTTGCAATATTTATATTTGTATTTTGTTTAATCGAGAACTATCGATAAATCGATTAAATATGGCGTCAACCATGGTACATTTGGTTATCACTGTGGTTTCAAGTGATACGTCAAATGTGACATGAGTTTTCTTCCGAGTACCATATGACAATTTAATTAATAACGTTGTCCATCATTTAAATCGAAATGGGTATTTTTTTTGCAAAGAAAAAACCACCAAGTCGTGTCACGGAACAAGATAAGGCTATTTTAGTATGTGTTTCATAAATTTTCTAACCTCAACTGTTTTTATTTTCGATATAAATTAAAAGATCTTAAATCTTTTTACAGCAATTAAAACAAACTAGAGATAAAATCAAACAATATCAACGAAGAATTGAGCAAAATCTTGAGAAAGAACGATTACTTGCAAAAAAACTTATACAAAACAAGCAGAAAGAGTTAATATCAAATTTTTGTATTTATATTTATATTTGGTGTAATGATTTTATAATTTTATTAAATACAATACAAATTTTTTAGACGAGCTTTACTTCTTTTACGAAAAAAGAAGTTCCAAGAACAAATATTATCAAAGACTGATGGACAACTAGAAAATCTCGAACACATGGTACACGATTTAGAATTTGCACAAGTAGAATTAAAAGTTGTAGATGGCTTAAAAGTAGGCAATGCTGCATTGAAGAAACTACATGATTTATTGTCTATTGATGAAATTGAAAAAATCATGGATGAAACTAGAGAAGGCATTGAAAAACAAAAGGAAATTGATGATATATTATCAGGAGAACTTACTGAAAATGATGAGACTGAAATTGAAGCAGAACTTGATGTTTTGTTAGCAGCAGAAGTCGAAGAAAAGGCACCAGAAGTAACAGAGGATATGATATTACCAGAAGTACCCAAAGAATTACCAGAAAAGAAAGAAGGTAAAATTTCTTTTTCCGCTACCAAAATTATTATCCTCTACATATAAACATATTCAATTTTTATATTTGCTTTTTATTACATTCCAGAACGGAGAAAAGAAAAAACACAAGAAGCTATTGCTCTGGAAGCATAAAAAGTGGTAAATTATATTATCACTTATATAATTATCAGTATTTTATTGCATTGACACATTGCGCAGAGATCTCTGTATATATGTACAGTACATTGAATATAAGGCTCTGCGTAAATAGTTGTCAGTCAAAGAGTGTAATTAAGGGAATGGAAGTTACATTTTATTAGCAAGGTGTTCTTTAAGTACTAAAAACTATCATTACTATTATAATGTGTGTACGTGTGATTTTAATACAGCAGATGAAAATTTCGATACAATGAATACATGGTATCTCTTTTATAAATTACATGTCATATATGTTTCAAAATTTTAATTATATTTGTACTATTTTGTAATGTTATCTTTTTACTTTATTATAGGTCTTTCTTGTGTAGTTATATAAAAACTGCAAAGAATTAAAACTGTTTAATAAATAGTTTATTTACAATATGATTAAATTCAAATCTAAAAATTAATATATTAATAATTAATTATTTCTTAAGTTTCTTATTATTTAAATTATCTGACTATTAAAAACATATTTTTTATATTAAAGATTAGGACTTCGTAATTTTAAAAAAATTATTACTGAAATATGTTTATCTTCATTCATGATCATATATTAAGAACAAATATAAACAGAATAAATAGTAGAACAGACATAACATGAAATTTTAGGAATCAACGCCATCTCTAGAGTGCCATAAATGAAATAAATATAAATAAGGAAAACAAATAATTGAATAGAAATAGAGATAGTTTAAGAAACTAGCGCCATCTCTTGAGTGTCAAATATTTTTAGCCAAAAGATGGTGCTAATTTTTAATTCTTACAATACTCAAGAGATGGCGCCAATGATCAAGTTTGCTCTCTCTCTGTCTTTCTTCTTTTATTTATTTTCCTTGTTTACATGAGTTTCATTTGCGGCACTCTAGAGATGGCGCTAATTTCCAATTTTTATCCTATCTCTATCTTTTTCTTAGTATTCGCTCTTCTTGTTACATGCTCAGGAGACGATTCTCATTTAAACTAACTGATTAAAAATAAAATTCATGATATCTATTTAAACTAATTGTTATATGATGTAAATATATATATATATACATTTATTTTTATATATATATGTCACAGATATATAAAATTGATTATTTTTATATAAAATTTGATCATTTTTTTTCTTGTTTTTTTTTTTATCAAATTCATTGAATTGAATATATTCCTACATTAAATGTTTTAAAATTAAATGACAAAACAACTTCGCTCTATTATTTTATCTATTATAATTATTATTCTATACTATATATTTTAAAGTATACATATAAATAGAAGGTCACACGTGACGAATTAGTATAAATTATTCAAAGACTGATAAGATAATTATCAAGAAATTTTTAAATATACTTTCTTGTCTTCGAAAAACTTTACATATATTTATTTCATATTTTTAATTTTAAATATAATATAATCGATAGTTATCTATTAAATTTATCAATCTTATCATACATTTGAAGATTAAAATTAATAAATTTTTATATTTATTATATTAATTATTTTAATCTTATTATTTTATAATAAGAAAATGTTTTATTTTTATTAATTTAAATTTATAAGAAGAAAATTATAAAATAATCTTGTTACATACAAGACGTCCTATTATAATATAATTTGACTTGTACTTTTCTATTTTATTCTACTTTATTCTTTTATTCTTTTTAGATAATAATAATTTACATAATTAGAGACAAACATTTCCTCGCTGTGCGCATTAAGTATCATGCAGGTCATCTATGTGACATATCAAAATTTTTTCTTCTATTACATGTTTTCGAGATTAATAATATATTTTTTAAAATTTATTGAACTATTCGATCATTTCGATATTAATTCAAGTATTAATTATGTCATAGATAGCAATCATTTAAGAATTGCTTTATTTGATCAAAAATCTTACGTCTTCAATTTTTACATAATATATTAATTATAAAAATAAAGCTTTTATATTTAATTCATCAAATTACATCATATCTATAATACTATTAATCATTTATAATAAGATAGAGTGCAAATCTGATATGAATAATAAAAAAAAATAACTAATAATAATTTAGTTTTTCATTTTTTCAATTGATTATGTAATAAAAAAATTGTAATATAATAAATTAAAAAATCTTTTCTATCCATTCAAAACAATATTATCAGTATTGTAAAGTTTTTACAAAACTATAATCCACTCATAATTAATACTCATAATATTATCTTTCTTTCAAATTAATCTTTCTTTTATCACACTATTAATTTTTATTATTTAAATAAATAATGAATTATAGAATGGAAATGTCAGATGTTTATTTTTTTCCAATTTATTTGATATTCTTGCTTTCCAATTTCTCAAACTCGACAAAAATGATACAACTTTATACAATTCTATTCTCTTAAAGAAAAGAAAAGTTTAAGAGTTTAAAAAAAAATTCTAACTCAAGAAATTATTTATAAATGATCCATATCATTCTCCATATTACGTAATATATATTTTAATATTTTTTTAACTATATGCCAAACGTTGTATTTTTTAATCATGTCACGAATCCGTTCTTTGTTTAACAGACGATCACCTTTAGTTTTAATAATATTTGCATCTCGTGCCTTGTACCGAACAACGTCAACGTGCAACGACTTTGTCACATCCAATGATACGGATTGTACGGTAGAAAACATCGCTTGAATATGTAAGTTGATCTGTCGAATCCAGATAAGACCAGCTTACAGCGCCGATAACGTACAAATTGTTTTAACAAATCGTATGGCGCCTATGAAATGATTCTATATCCGATCGTTAAACGATTTCAACACGATTTCACAAATTCTAGATTCAGATACGATCTCAATATAATTCCATCGATCATGTATTATAATAATCAATATTACTTATCAACATATATTAATCTCGTATTTAAGCATACATTTCTAATCATTAACGTATAAATGTTAGAATGTTAATTATCATCTCTTGATATAAATATTAAACCAATAACTTTTATCGAAGAGAACTAAAAAAAAAATCTTTAATCGGTTTGCCACGATCTTTGTACTGTACATTATAGGTAAAAATATTCCTTTTAAATATTTGTTTTCTCAACTAGATTAGCGATTTTCATAATTTTACATTTACTTAATTTCATTGATTAATTTTTAATTAAGGTAAACTTGATCGCAAAAGTTATTATTTCATTATTTCATTACTGTTTTCCCTAAAATAATTTATCTGTAGAATAAACTAGTAATTCTTCTATGGTAATTCGTAATTTTATTATAAATAAAATTAGATATTTTCATTATTCGATATCATCTATAATTATTCAATATTTTCGTCGAGAATATGATGCAATAATTAATGTATCACTCGCATAATAATATAATCTATTTCTTAATTAATCATTTCTTGACATATCTTCCATCTTTTTGTCCGATAAATTAACATTCTTCAGAAATAGAAAAGAAGAGAAAAAGAAATAAATTTCAAGGTACCATTAAACCAGGAAACCAAGCAAAAAATTAACTTGTATACACAAATGTTACCAACGAAGATACATTTCGCAACGATTATAAATTAAATACGAACGTCACGTTGTTCGATCATATCGAAAATCTATTAATCCAAAAATTCAACGTTCAAGAGAAATGTTTCATATTCATAAAATACAGATAAAAAAAATATTCAACGTCAAATAAATTCCATTTGCACGGAATGATGACACAAGACCATAAAAATTGCGCGAATTCTAAAGTTTCGAGGAAGGCAAATCGTTCTTCGAAGATCAGGAAGATCGGAAAATACGGAGTATAATTGTAATCGACTAACATTTCAGCAAAATTATCAATGATTCACGTGCAAACTATGTGATCCTAGTGGCAAATTACAGGAAGTATGTATCGCAGTCTTCTGATATTTAAAATGACGGCTCTGCTTATGGATCAGCGATTCCGTATTTAAAACCGGATGACCTTCGTGGAACAAGAGGGACGAAGAGAAAGGAAGAACGGCCAAGGAACGGGATTCGTTGACTAACCTCGGATCATGAAATCTTCTTTTCTTTTTCTCTCCCCGTGTCGGATATTATTGCTCTCCTTATCTACAATATTATCCGGATATTACAGTAAGTTCAACGATTCGATGTGATCGAATAATAGACGAATCGAATGACACCGAGCGTTGCATAATGTGACACGCGAAATATTTTCACTTTACGTCAGATGATTACTTTTTCATAATGGATCGTATTATTGGTGAATGCAGAATTCGATAATTAGCGATCATTATGCATAATCGACATAATATCTTTATAAATTTCTTGTGTAATAAAAATTATTACACTGTGCTAATTATTCTAAATGTTTAATGGTTAAAAATTAAGGTTCATTTTGCGTTCAATTAAAGTAATAACATTAACGATATTTTTATAAGTAATAAATTTTCTTGTGTGATAAGTTTGATAAAGATTCATAGGTACTGAGTACAATTTTATAAATTATCATCTGAGAGTCAGCATTAAATTTTAAAATTAGTACAACAGATATGTTTATATTATTAATTAACAAATTATTATACAAATATTATATTCGAATATTGCTAAACAATTATTTCAGAAAGATATATATCATTAATTGTAAAACCGGTACCAATTTGAAACTTCGATAAGTAACAAGTATTGACTCCGTTTCAATTCTACAAATATAAATTGAAACGAGTGAGAACTGGATAATGATCGATTAGAAATACAATTGGCGATGATGCAAGTAGCTTAAACAGGATTCAGATTCGTTTATCTTCTGTCGCATTCTAAAAAATCTTTTGCCTTCGACAATTTTCGTACCAAATTTTGTTATCTCACAGAGATTGTTACTTTTTATATCGCGACGTAATTTCTAGAATGTCTCCCAATGATTTCATCGTTTAAAAAATGACCCTGGCTGTATTCTCTCCTCAAGACCAAACTGGGAATTACTCGCGTATATCGATCTTGTTATTTAGCGTCGATTTTCGATGTTAGCAACAGCATTATCGTGCCACGTGGTGCGAGAAATATGTCGCGAGGAACAAATTAGACGCAATTTCGACGAGGATTTCGTCTAGATAACGAGAAGTTTTGCCACTTGATTTACGACTTTAAATATAGCATTTTTGATTATTGCTTTATTCGTTTAGAGGCAAATAATGACGCGGTATTTTCACATTCGGAAATGCAAAGAATCAATCTTTGTTCTTCTATCAACAATTTCGTTGATTAAAATTTTATCGATTTGAAACGC